CCAACCTACGTGGATAATTGGTCTCCACCTAATAGAAATGATAGAAGTGCCTCACTCGCACTCCACCTGATTAGGGTCTCTTACAGATAAATGATTCCAAACATTTGCTCACATCTTTATCGTGATCCAAATGTCACACTCCACATCCTACGATAAAAATCACCAATGTACCCCTAGACATCTATACTCTACCTTACCAAAAGATACACACACACACACACACTGCTAATGCATCCCAAATCCACTATGACAAAACAACACCTTTCAGCGACCACAAAGGTTAGGGCTCAAATTTAAATTGACCCACACACCACAAGGTCACTCCAACACCAATGCTCTACCAAATCCACAAAGAGTTTATCCCTCAAAAGGAAAGGTGAAGGTGGTACTCACAAAGAGAATAGAAGAAAGAGTTGGTTACTTCACTGCACTCACAAAAGAGGCTCACACAGAGAACGAAGATAACCCTCACGGGCTGCCTCACACAATCTCACAGACTACATAGGCTTACAAAGATGAAGGAGAAAAAGGTTGCCCCTCTAACTTCTCACTACCACACCCTCTCACACCAGTCACAGAGCAAAACAGAATACGCGATAGATATCAATCCACTATGCATGCAAACAATTACACCAAGTAATACGATCACTCCAATTCATGCCAATCACATATCAAACACATTGAAATACAACATATAATCATGCAACAGAATTGAGCAATCACATACATGTAAAAAGGATTACACACGGATGCAAATGCAGTAACTAGGGTAACACTTAATAAGGCTCACTAGGGTCATCACTAGACCCTAAAACTAGATTCATCTCGCCTCTCGTCTTACCCTTTTTCTTGGGACAATCTCTAAGGAAGTGTCCAAACCTACCACAACTGTAACACTGTCTACCACCGGACTTGTCCCAACGCTTGCTCTTCTTCTCACCACCATCATCACTTGGGTCACTACTCAAATCACTGTTATCTTAAGCTTTACCCAAACTCATTTGCTTAAACTTCATTCTTCTCCTCATCATATGCAACTCACTAGTTTGCTTATCTTCTTTTTCAGTCTTAATCTCTATCTCCTTATTCCTAAGGGAATCGATGACAGTCTCGGAGGTTAAAGTGTCTCTACCATACTTAATCACATTCTTAACTTCTCTATATGACTCATGCATAGAATTAAGCAAAATAATGTTCTTATAGGTTTCAGACATCTTTTCATCACAATTAACGATGTCTTGAACCAACTTGTCAAAAACATCCAAATTGTCATCAAGATCCTTTGAAGGATATATTTTAAAGCTAAAAAATCTTTCAAACAAGTACAACTTATTTGGAGTAGATTTAA